TAGTCCTGTGGGACAATGATGGGTAACATGTACCCTGTTACTGTTAAATGGGGGACACCGAGAAAATGAGACCATAACTCACACATGAAAATAGTAACAGGCATAATGTCTAAAAAATAACAACGAAACAACAAACACCCAGAAGATGGGTGCTGGGGCCCCATCCAGGCCTGAGCTCAGGCTGACCAACTCCAGGAAGGACTCGCTGTCCAGGGTCCTGGACATGCTCTGAATTAGGACATGTGACAAGGCCTCAGTGATGTCTGAGTTCCAGTGAGCACAGGTCCTGGTGGGACAAGGTTCTACTGAGGGACAAGGTCAGAGGAGCAGAGAGGTGACCTCCCCAAGGAGTGACCACGTCAAAGCCCACGATGCTCAGAGCACCACCTGGGCACCGGCCCCGACCACACTCGGTCTTCAAAACATCTCCTGTCCACACCTGGGGCAGGTCAGCACAGCAAACACATGAGCTCGGGAAAGTTCTTGGTGTTTATATTTATTTCCCCTCAAAATTTAGAATCTTCTCCTTGAATTTACCCACCAACCCTTCATGGCAAGCAATGAACAAAGTCACCTCCACAACCTCATTTCAATGCAGAAGGAACAGCTTGCAGCTCAGAATACGGGGAAGAAAAGACAGCAATAGTGAGGGCCAGCCCTGCCTCTGGTGGACCAGAAAGCGTGGGGAGCAGGGCGGGGCCAGCCCCCCATCAGAGGTTCTTGAGTGAGGAAGTGGGAACGTGAACACATCTTCCATCACTCAGTCCCCAAAAGGCAGCTGCCTCACGCTGTGGAGGACAAGCATCATGAACACATTCAGGTCAGTGACTGTAACTGGTGACATTCTCAAAGCCCACTTCATGCTCACAGTGTCCCACACACTACCCACCACCCAGTTCTCCCATCTTCTCATTCCTCCCCTCATTTCGGTCTCCCCTTTAGAAGCCTAGAGAGACACATCAGAGCCCTGGGCGCTGTCACTGCCTGGGGGAGGGGGGGACACTCAGACCCCACACCTTCCCCACCTGATCACCTCCTCCCCCACATCACAGCTCCAGCCACAGCTCCCAGCAGAACCAGGCCCCCAACGATGCCCATGATGATGATGAAGGTCTGAGAAGGCAGCTCTGGGAGGAGAAGGGAATGGAGGGTGAGGGCCCTGACCCGAGGCCTCAGACCCAACGTCACTGAGGTCCCCCAGGCCCCTGCTGCCCTGAGAAGAGGCTCTGTGCCCACGGCCCCTCCTCACCCCATCTCAGGGTCAGGGGCTCGGGCAGCCCCTCGTGCTGCACATGGCACGTGTATTTCTGCTCCTCTCCAGGGGGCACCCCCACGGCCGCCCACTTCTGGAAGGTGCCGTCCCCTGCAGGCCTGGTCTCCACCAGCTCCATGTGCTGGGTCTGGTCCTCCCCATCACGCTGCCAGGTCAGGCTGATGTCTGCAGGGTAGAAGCCCAGCGCCCAGCACCTCAGGGTGACCTCACGCTCAGAGACGGGGTGGTGGGTCACGTGTGCCTTTGGAGGGTCTGAGGGGAGGGGAGAAAATGCAGGAACTTTGCATTTGCCATGGGACCCTCCAGTAGCGCTCATGTGACCATCCTGAGAGTGGACAGACCTGGGGTGGCCAG